AGGACAACCCCAGCCATCTCTCACTGGAGCAGCTTGGGGCCAGATAAAAAGCATCTCTCTATGGTTGCTGCAGCTCCAGCGGGCACAGTTGGGGGAGCAGTTCATGTCCCCCCCCAGCTAAAGGACAGACAAACTCTCTGGCTGCATCGAGACTGGCATGATTTTGCGCAAATACTTTTAACGGAAAAGTTTTTCCGTTAAAAGTATTTGCACAAGGGGGCATCTATACTGGCATGTGCCTTTGCGCAAAATGATCCGTGCCAGTGTAGACGCTCTCTTGCGCAAGAAATTAACGTGGCTGTCTACACTGGCCCTCTTGCGCAAGAGGGCTTCTCTCTGAGTGGGAGCATCAGAGTAGTTGCGCAAGAACCACTGATTTTGTACATGACAAAGTCAGTGTTCTTGCACAAATACTCCCGGCCAGTGTAGACAGGCGGCAAGATCTTGCGCAAAAGCGGCTGCTTTTGCGCAAAATCATGCCAATCTAGACGCAACCTCTGAAATATATAGCAGATGGCTGTCCTTTTCTCTATATCTGCCCCCTGCTGCCTCCATAGGGTTATTGCCATCCTGGTGCCCATCTCTGGCCTCTTGCTTCCCCTCCCCCATGGTCATTCTTCAGTATAACTCACTCTGACCAGACCCCTCCATTTCCATTTTATGAGAAACAATCAAATTCCGTGTACCTCCCATTATCCTGGCACAACCAAACACTGACCTTGCTTTAAGTTAGGATAAGAGGATGCTGCCAACCAAATTTGGTAGCGCTAGCTCTTACCGTTTAGGAAGAGCTTTTGAACAAACGGACTCACAGATGGATGGACAGACACACGCACTCTTCTAAAATACATAGTAAGATTGATTGAGCAGATGGCTTGAACTTGGATTTTTCACATCCTGGGTGCATGCCCTAAGCTATAGTCTACTGCTTGCTGGCCCAATGAATACTTAAATATTGCATAAAATGTGGAATAGCAACTGGAGAGACTGATGAATCTCAGAACACCCTCTAACTCCTAGTAAGTAAAGCATTCCCTTGGGAGGCTGGATCCTGTGTGAGTGCTCTAACTATAAGGAAACATCAGGGTCATTGGTGTTTGCGATGTCTGATCAGTTAGGCTGCTCAGAGACCACCTATCAGTTCAGGCCCTTCAGGGAAGAAATACCTAGCTTGAGGATCCTACCCAGCAACTAGGTGGCACCAGGACTTAGGTGGCTTTGTGTGTATCCACCAGCAAACATTTAGGGGACTTGACTGGTGGAAACATAAGCACCTAGCGACTATAGGCACCAAGGGGGTTAAGCCGCAGCTGAGTGTGCTTTTCAGGGGCTCTACATTTTTGATATTATGTGCCAAAAGTGGCACTTACACATCTAAGTCTCTTTATGGACCTAGCCTGTGATGTCTCCACAATTCATTTAAAGCAGCTACTCTGTTCTTTACCAGCTGGCTTTGCACCCCTGGAAGGGGAAGGGCGGTCAGCCCTCAGCACCACTTAGACAATGGTGCACCCCCTTCCTGCCCCAGCTCTCAGACACGCTGGCAGCAATACAAAGGGGCCTGGGGCGCTGGCCATTGCTGCAGTAGCAACAGTGATGGCTCGGATCTCCAGGCCCCTTTGCAACTCCAGACCCGGGGGGCAATTGCCCCCTTTGTTTCCCCCTGCCAGCGGGCCTGGAAGCCAGTTAAATGTCTACATAGACTGGTATACTGCCCAGGACAGTCTCTAGTACCATGCCTGGTGCACTCTCACTCCCTTGCTCTCTCTTGCACTTCCAAGGCCCTAAAATTCTCTGATTTATTTTTCAATAAATCTTTAGTTAATTCAATCCTGACGTCTCCTTTGTGCTACATTCAATTATGCAAGAATGATGGAACCGATAACCTGAGTTTACCAGGCCTGTGTTTTAATTAATACTGTTGTATCTAACCCAGCCAGCATCACTGAAACAAATTCACCAGGGACTACTTCATCAGCCAAACGTGGCAAGGGTAGTTTTACCTGACATGACGTGACATGAGTCTGTGTACTCGAGGATGTACAAAGTGTCAATCCTCTTGATAGCTCACTGCATTTGTTTATATACATTACAGCTCCTAAAATCGCCATTTACCTCTTTGCATCCTGAAGTTGAACAAATACAGGCTACTTCTGACCAAAGTCCTATCGTTGCTCAGATTCTGGCTATAGGGTGAGAGGTTGAGGGGGCTAGCATATTTTTGTTCTTGGCTGGTTGGTTTCTTTATGTAGAATGGGATTTACTGCTGAATTTGGGGTTTAACTTGTATTTAATAAAACCTGTTTTGTCAGTGTTGTGAAAGTGTCTACATCCTCAGGATAGACACTTTGGATATTCAAGAGAAATCTATAAATTACACTTTAAGCCCAAGAGGTATGAATAATGGACTATTAAAGTCCCTGTCAAGATGTCTAGATAATGATCCAGAAACTACACAGTCAATAAGTGAAGGAGAAAATTAAAGAAATATCTGATAAAATCCAAAATGCAAATGTGGGTCCCTACAGGTATTTCCCACCTCTATTTAAAATCTGTATGTGATAGGTGGAGGCTACGAAGCCTTCAGCCTCTAGCCATCTGTTTTACGAGCACTCTCTCTTACTTAGTCTACTGCCATCACATTTGCTGAAACAAAAAAGAGGTTCTAAAGGAAACAGTGGCTGGGTTCTGATCTTCATTAAACTACGTTTCGGAGGACCTCAGCTTTCATCCGCTCTCCTCTCTGCCCTTAGCCATAAAGAAACTGGGACAGACTCATGCAGAACTATGACAGTACACTAAGGTTTGCAGGTAAAATTTCTCCTTGTTCCCTTACTCACCCCTGGAAGAATGACAGCCATGGGCCGTGAAGATGGGAGTTAGTTGTTATGGAGGGGAAAGTGAAGAAGAGATCCTTAGGGCTCAAACTGTGACTTGGAAAACACGTCCCCCACAGGGGTAAGAAAATGATCAAAACAGCTTTACAAGCTATTATGCTCTTTTTTTTAATATACATCAAACAAAAAAAATCCTCACATCAGAGAGAGATCATTTGCCTAGCCCAGAACATGATTTCCATACTTCAAAGATACACTCTTAATGATTTTCTAAGTGCTTGACTACTCCAGAGAGCCTCATTCACCACCTGCAGTTCTTTTTTCTTGCTGTTGGAAAACTTTGTTTCATAAAAAATGTCCTCTATTACTTACAGTCAGTTTTCAAGGTGTTGGGGTAACTTGCTTTGGGCCATGGCCAATTGGAATTATGTACGGCAGACAAAGTTGTCTCCCTTGGTCTACATTTTTGCCATATATGCATTATTGAGGAGTTGCTTTGCTTGCTAATCGGCTCTTGCAGTCCCCAGGTATTTCTCCCATATCCTTGGAAAAGTTGATGCCTGTGTTTTGAGGACTTCAGCCTTTAATAGAAATTATGTTCAGAATCAGAAGCCCAACCATTGTGGTGAAGGGACTCATACGTACCAAGCTAAATAATGTAAAAGGGCCATCAAGGAGTCCTGACCCAGATCTCCTACTTCATGCTGCAGCACAGTGTATGATCACAATCATTCCATGTGAGAAATAGGATTTTGAGACCTACTTTTGTGACAGTTCAGCATGGAAGTGCTCCAAGTGCTTTGGGCCAGTTTCATTATAAAGCATGACTACTCTTTGTCCTTTTGACAGCATGTTGGGTGAGAGCTGCATTTCTGTGCAGGTTTATTGGCAACTCATGGGGTGATAGCACTGCAATCTTGTGGACAACTGCCAAACCTCTAGTTAGTGCAGCTATTTAATTCTGGGTGGCAGCACAGGGCCCCAGATATCATTGTATCTAGTTGTACTCACCAATCAGTTCTGCCCTATGCATCATCACTAGTGTAGCCAGAAGACTCCAGCTGTCACTCGTCCAGTCCTGGCTGATTGCCCCTGTCATGATCTGACCTGAAGCCTGTACAATTCCATGGAAATGTTTTGAGTGGGCTCTGTGGGCCCTGGTAATATTACTATGCACAGCCAACTATTAAGACAGTTTATTTCATGATTTCATCTCCAAGCCACATCATACATGCTGGCTAAATGCAGGATGCCCCTTCTCTAAAACAGTTGGACATGTCAGATAACACATTAGACACAACCTTTCTGAGGACCAGCGGCAACAGGTGTCAAGGGACTATTTTTTGGATTGTTGAAGCATGTCTTGGTAGACAGACAAGTCAGATTTGCTTCCCATAGTCTCTCTGGATGAGGATTTGCATGCCCCTCAAAACAACTCTATGAACCAAAAGCTCCGTCCCTGTTACAACAAGATACATTGTGGTCAGGGACAGTTTGACGTGGATCTTACCATTAGGCTACATCTAGACTACAAGCCTCTTTCAAAAGAGGCTTTTATGAAAGAATCTTTCAAAAAAGCTTCCTTCGAAAGAGATCATTTAGACAGCAACCAGTATTTTCGAAAAAGAGAACCACTTTTTCGAAAGAGAGCACCCAGGAAGTCTGGATGCTCTCTTTCGAAAAAGCGCTGTTTGTGTTCAATAACATCTTTTTTCGAAAGAGCACTTTGGAAAAAAGGCATTCTTCCTCATAAAATGAGGTTTACTGCTGTTGAAAAAACTGCCACGTTCTTTCGATTTAATTTTGAAAGAACGCGGCGGCAGTCTAGACGCAAGGGAAGATCTTTTTTTTTTTTTTTTTTTAAGAAAACCCTATAGTCTAGACACACCCTGGCTCCGTCTAGACTGCAAGCCTCTTTCGAAAAAGAGCATCTAGACTACAACCAGTACTTTCGAAAAAGCAAGCCACTTTTTTGAAAGAGAGCGCCCAGGCAGTCTGGATGCTCTCTTTCGAAAAAACACAGTTTGCATTACATAGCGCCTTTTTTCGAAAGAGCACTTTCGAAAAAAGGCATTCTTCCTCATAAAATGAGGATTTCCACAGTAAAAAAAAATGCCACGTTCTTTCGATTTCATTTTGAAAGAATGCGGCAGCAGTCTGGACACAGAGGAAGTTTTTTTTTTTTTTAATAAAAGGCCACTTTTTTCGAAAAAAACTCTGCAGTCTAGATACGCTCCCTGAGAGCTTCTTCCTGCCTCTGTGAACCTCCAGAACAAAAAGCATCCTATCTGTTTATGCACCGCTTTCTTGATCACCTTGATGACAGATGGATGCTTTTGATGTCCGCAGACAATGCTGTCATGATAGACTGGCTTCATCACTTAATCAACACCTAATCACTGCTTGTGACATCAGTAGCCACATACCAGAAGTATCATTATTCCCATTTTACAGATTGGTAAATTGGAGAAAGGTTAATGGCTGCAGCTCCCATCCATAAGTACCTGTACAAGATCAACTGCAATGATTTTGAAGGCCATTGCTGCCCACTCTCCACGTGAGCACATTTAAAGTACTGCAATGTACTGCACAAGAACAGGCAATGTAAGGGGTCAGATGATGGCTGGGGGCCTAAAGTGAATTTGGCTCCAGGCTCACATGAGAACCTGTTATACAGTATTGTACTTATTTTGTATTTAGAGCTTAACAGGTAATGGTAAAGGAGATCAGCATAGAGAACGAAAAGGGAAAACATTAGGAAGAGAAAGTTAAGCAGGCATAATGAATGGTGTGAGGGTTATCTGACATAACCAGAAGCATTGTGCATTTAGAGAAGGCAACACAAATATGGAGATAAAAAATGTTAAACACAATCTGTGGACAAGCCAACATGGATTTATTTTTCTATTGGTACATTATGAGACTGATCCAAAACCCACAGAAATTCCTCAAAACACTTCCATGGACTTCAGCAGGCTTCAGGTCAGACCTCATTTTGGTCTCCCGCTTTTGCATGGCTCTGTCAAAGGGCACACAAGTGAAATACAGGCCTTCAATAATGTAATAATTAATGTGTGTAATTTCTGATTACCAAGTAACCATATATACCCAGGTACACATGTGAGTATGTACGCATACACACACACACATCTAAGGCCAAATCCAGCAAAGCATTTATGTATGTGCTCAAATGTCTTGCTGGATCACAGCCCACTGCTGCTACCACTGAAACTGTTTGCAAAACTTTTACTGACCTCTCTGGGTCACTTATCATGCATCACTGAAATCAACAGGAACAAACCGTGGACGAAGAATCTGGACCTAAGGGAATACACTGCTTGATGCAATAAAACAAGTGAGTAAAAACAGACTGTCAGCACAATGTGCACCTCCCTGCCCTTAATAATGCAGTACTTGTTCGCTGGCCTGTAAGGGCGAAGCTCAGCATTTTCACATATCTCCAGTGTTTTCCGTTCCTGAGGCATATTTTATATTGGAGCATCTTGATCTAAGGCAAGCAGCTGTTTCTCAAAGTAAAGAAGTTGATCCACTTCAAAACAGTCACTTGCTCTAGCAACCACTTTCTCCAGGCATTCCCGGATCTCGTCTTCACTTGCATTCTGCTGTCTCGCTTTCTTGAGATTGTTGTAAACCTTTTCAAATACTTCTGCTCCCAGCTTCTGAATTGCTGATCTACAGACAAATGTTATGCAAAGGTTACTCACAGATTAATTCATTTCACATATTAACACATGTAGCATGAGACCTTGATCTGGTAAGTTACTGAACCTCTCAAACAAAATGGCTTTCTGCTCCAGAGCAATGTGGAACTATATACAGGCAGTCCCCGGGTTACGTACAAGATAGGGACTGTAGGTTTGTTCTTAAGTTGAATTTGTATGTAAGTCGGAACTGGCGTCCAGATTCAGCCGCTGGTCATTTTCAGCAGCGGCTGACTTGGGAACACCTGGGGTAGAGCAGCTGGGGTGCTGCTGGGTTGGTCCCCGCAGTGCTGAGGTGCGGGGGTGGGGGGCCTAACCCGGCAGCCCATGTCCTCTGTGGCGAGAAAAGCCTGGTCTGCTGGGGGGGGGAGGTGCACTAGCTGTGCCCCCCTCTCCCAGCAGACCAGGGAGATGCGGAGCGGCTCTTCTTGCCGCGGAGGACGTGGGCGGCGGGACCACAGCACATCTGGGCGTCGTGCCGCTCCCGTCCTCCGGGGCGAGAAAAGCCCCGTTTGTAACTGCGGATCCGACATAAGTCAGATCTGCGTAACTCGGGGACTGCCTGTATACAATTTGCGTAGAATAACGCTCACTATGGAATTTCTCTATGGGCATTTTCAATATGAAAGAAAGTCCCAAAATGAAGTCCTCGCACTACTGAAATCAGTGAGACTTTTGCCATCATCGTCAGTAAAGCCAGGATTTAACTCTTAATGGCTAATTTGATCAACTACTTTATAACATGTTTGTAGTGGAACAGTCACCCCCCCGCTGCAGGATAAAAAGAGTTAAAGATAGCCCTGGGAGAGGAGCCAATTAGAGTGAAGCTAGTGACTGCCAATCAGGACCCAGCTAGGCCTTATAAGAAGGACTCCTGGAGAGGGGGAACACCTCTTGGTTTCAGCTCTGGATGGAGAGAACCCAGCTGACTGCTAATAAGGTATCATGGACAGACCAGTGCTGGAGAAAGCAAGAGCAGGAAGGTAGCCAGGGCAGGCAAAGGTAGCAAGTCCTCAATCCCTTGCCAATGATGAGTGGCCATTTTAGACTGCAGTTTGCCCAAGGCAGGGTTAGAGGGCAACTGGCAATGGGTCACTGAGGCAGGTGGGTATAGGGGGTTGGAGTTCTCTAAAGGGGAGTGTGGAGCACTGCTGCAGGGCTGTACCTTAAGGGCATGGCTCCGCAGACTGGGAGGGACATGATCCCTGATACAAGGTGGTGGAGAATGGACAACAGGTAACAGCGGGTGAGACATCAGCTGGAAAAGCTCCAGCACTGAGCTGAGCTAATTCCTAGCACGACCAGAGAGAGGCACCATGTCAGTGAGTGCTACAGCATTCTACAGTGATTCTAGTTCTTACATGCCTATTTACAGCCTCTGGATTTCATAGCAAATACATTAAATAATATGCCACTGGCATATTGTGAACATTTGCTATTCATAAATCATTCCTTAACCACTTATCAAACAACTGTTGCACAGCATGCAATGAGAATGGAACAGTCATTCTTCTTCTGCTAAAACACTACTCTCCTGTTTTAATCAGAAGGGCTAGCTGTACTTTCATGATGAAAAATACACAGAATACACTAATACTAGTTAACACAAAAGTTCCAGTTAAAAATTCTAAGATTGCTCATCGAATTAAAAAAAAAACAGAGCAAAATTGTATAATGATGCATGTAAAAACCCACAAGTAACACACAGTGCTATAGTCAGGGGCATGCTACCAATATTTTAACAAGAGGATATTCTAAAGGTTGAACCTCCCTGGTCTGGCACCCTTGGGACCTGGACTAGGCCTGAACCAAGGAATTTTCTGGACCAGGAGAGGTCAATGTCAGCCCTTCTGCTGCTGCCCCCTGCAAGGCTCCTCTCTAATGAAAGCAGAGGAGGTGGCATTGATGAGGATGGATGGCGCTCAGAGTAAGAGTGAGGGTGGCTGTGGGGCCCCCACCACCGGTCACTGGCCTCTGCTCCTGACCACTGGCCGCAGGGGTCTGCAGCCCTGAGCTACTTTCCCAGAGTGCCCTCTGTCCTCACTCCTCCCTTTTTCTGAGCTTGAACACCATAAATCAGCTATTTGTGGTACTCTGGAAGCTCTGGGAGGGTGGAGGAGGAGTATCTGAGCATGGAGCCCAGCATTTCCCCAAGTGCTCCTGCCCTGGAGCACCCATAGATGCCGAACTACACATGTTCCCAGATGACGGAAATCCAGACTATAAAGGTTCATTGTGCTGGAATTATTTATACTTTGTTCCTGAAAAATATGCTGAAACCTACAGTATAGCATGCAGCCTGAATAATTTTAAAAGAGGGGAGAATCCCTCAGAAGCAGCTCTGGAAATCACCCATTTAAGTGCAATCAGGTCCTTTTTTAAAGTAAATAACTGGCAGTGTTTTATTTGAAGAAGACTATGTGATTGTATGAGGCTGCATCATAATGCCTGAGTACAGCTGGACAGAAAGCTGCATGCGCAAACTTCTATTTATCATTTCTTTCCTTTTGTGCACTGACACGTGTAAGCTTAATGTTCGCTGAATGTATTTTGTTTGTTTTAATATCAGAGCTGCATGGTCTCCTGCCATTGACCAAAATAGCAGCTGGCCAAATGGGATTCCTTTGCAGAAATCCCTGAAATTTGCTTGCATAACCCTCACTGAGTTCCATGAGCAGCAGTTGTGTAATGCAGCCTGTCCTCCCAATGGCATTTGTGTACCTTTGTCAGGATTTCAGTCATGAACAGATGCTACTGTGCTGAAGGGTTTTCCCTAGAAATTCATTCTGGCAGCCAGGCATTCTTCAATAAGGTTTCTTTATATATCTTAAGGGCTTTACCTGACATATTAATTTAATTGTCATATATTAAAATAAATTGGTAGCATTGTCCTTGGGGCCACTGTACTTGCATGTTCAACATACTTCTCTCTCCAGTGTCCTTCATCTGGAGAGCTGTCATTCATTTTACTCCCCAGGCTCTGCACATTCGCTGCTCGGTACCTTTTATTGTTACAAATTCTTACACCAGAGATAAAATATCATTCAGCTAATAAAAAGTCTCATACACTAAAGAAATGACTTAGCAACCGTTTATAGGTTCTAGCAAGAATAAGTTTTGGTGTCCCTTGAATTTGGGACTTTGTCATCTGTTGTATCTGACACTTGCACCTTGGCAATCAGCACCCTCATGGCATCAGGAACATCTAATTTGTCCCTTCAATATTAGGTAGGAGCTACCTGCTGCCACTACAGGGCTGAGCGTGCCCTTTTATGTTTGCTGTCTGATAGGAGGAGGAATCATACTAGCACCATGGTGCTGGCACTAGTTATTTAAGCTGCAGCATTGCACATACAAGTAGGGTGTTCAGAAGTGGGCATCTAACTCCTCTCTTTTATATAAGGACAGCCGCAGTGCTAAGCCATGCTGCTAGCACCCCTGGCAGTGCTGATCACCCTCAACTGACAGCTAGCCGAAGGGACAGGAACAACTCCATAAGGTCAGTACTATCATGAAAAGGGGAATGGGGAAGGGTAAAGCACACAGAGCCCTAGTCTACACTAGGGAGTTATTTTGAAATAACCCCCCTTATTTCAAAATAATAGGCAGAGCATCCACACTACCAAGCATGTTATTTCAAAATAATGGGCTGGTTAATACAAAATCTGTACTCCTGCTTTCCTCAGGGAATAAGCTTATTTTGAAATAGTTATTTCATAGAATCATAGAATACTAGGACTGGAAGGGACCTCGAGAGGTCATCGAGTCCAGTCCCCTGCCCTCATGGCAGGACCAAGTACTGACTAGACCATCCCTGATAGACATTTATCTAACCTACTCTTAAATATCTCCAGAGATGGGGATTCCACAACCTCCCTGGGCAATTTATTCCAGTGTTTGACTACCCTGACAGCTAGGAACTTTTTCCTAATGTCCAACTTAAACCTCCCTTGCTGCAGTTTAAGCCCATTGCTTCTTGTTCTAGCCTCAGAGGCCAAGATGAACAAGTTTTCTCCCTCCTCCTTATGACACCCTTTTAGATACCTGAAAACGGCTAGCATGTCCCCCCTCAGTCTTCTCTTTTCTAAACTAAACAAACCCAATTCTTTCAGCTTTCCTTCATAGGTCATGTTCTCTAGACCTTTAATCATTCTTGTTGCTTTTCTCTGGACCCTCTCCAATTTCTCCACATCTTTCTTGAAATGCGGTGCCCAGAACTGGACACAATACTCCAACTGCGGCCTTATCAGTGCAGAGTAGAGCGGAAGAATGACTTCTCATGTCTTGCTCACAACAACACACCTGTTAATGCATCCCAGAATCATGTTTGCGTTTTTTGCAACAGCATCACAGTGCTGACTCATATTCAGCTTGTGGTCCACTATAACCCCTAGA